CAGGTCAAGCGGCAGCTGTGTAGAGCAAAGCAGGACACGGGGTCAGAAGGCAAGACTTACAGTCCCAATGCGGCCACTTACTAGATGTCTGGCCTCAGGCAAGTCCTCTGACCTGCTGAGCCTCAGTAAGAGGGGATGAGAAAAGTACATGGCTCTGGGATGGTTGGGAGGATCAGATGAGATCAGAGTACATACAGCAAGGGGAAAAGGGGCATGGGGTATCTGTAACCTTGTATGCCATACCAGATTTTGCATTTCCTCAATCAACTGCCAGTCTTCGTTCCTAACCTGGAACCTGATGGCTCTACAAACCTAGCCCAGAACATGGCATTTGCCCCTATCATCCTGCAGAAGTTTACCAGTTCCTCACAGTCTAATGCCCTCTTAACTCACCTCTTGTCCCTGCTTTCCCCCATCCATTCAGTGCGCCGGTGCACCTGCAGACTGGCACAAGCCACATCTTGTTTATTCCCTGTCTTTGCTTCTACCTCTTCCCTAAACATCTGTCTCCTCCCCATTCCTCTAGCCCCCTCCAACTCTGGAGTTGTGCTTTATCTCCAGTGAGTTTAATGCTTCTCTGATAAGACCAGTTAATCCTCTGCTGCTCCTCTTTTGCAGATGGAAGAGATTAGAGGCAAAAGGGTTAGCATCTATCCTTCAAGGGCACATAGGACATGAGCAGGGAATTGGATCCTGCTTTCCCACCTGATGCTCTAGACAGGGTCCCCAGTATTTCTGGTTAGGTGCAGCACTGGCTTTTTCCAACTCATGAGCCTCCTGACAAGCCTATAATGAAAATGGAAGCACGGGTATTGGTCAAGTGGCCTGTAGACTCACCAGATTCCCTGGGCAGCTGGGCTGATCTGGTCCTTAAGAGCAATAAGCTCCAAGGAAGCAGCTCTATGACCAGCAGTAAAATGTACCTGGTAACAAGAAGGTAAGACTAGCTCAGCAGGAAATGATTCTGACAGGCAAAGTCTAGGCAAAGTCTAGGATTCTCCGAGTTCATGATGCATGTGGAATGGTGCTACAAGGCTTGGACATCATGTTTCCTTGGGCAAACACTGAATGCCACTTTATGGTAGATAGTGTCTGCTGCGTGTCAGTCCTGAAATACAGAGCTCAGAAAGGAGATGGAGGAAGCACACATTGAGAAGCACACCTAACTAGGAAATTCAGAACAAAACAGAGATGACCGAAGACAAGAGGAAGCTATAAACCACATGGAATATTACTGAAAAGGTTAGCATCTTTCAAGTGTCCACTGGATTCGGCAATAGGGAAATCACAAGCTTCAGTATGAGCAATTTCCACATGGATAGAAGCCAGCATGGACTGAAGTGAACAGGCCATGGAGGTGGGTGGGTAGAGTCAAATTCTCAATAACCCTGGCTCTAGAGTAGTAGAGATAGGTCCAAGCTGTCTCCTGAAGTAGAGGGGTGAGCGGTGACCTGAAGTTTCCCCCAACTGGCATGTGAGATGACTTGCATACCATCCGCCCTTGGCTGAGCACAGAGAGCTCCCTTCCAGTGCTAGAAGATAATGCGCACAGAAGGACCTTTAGCTACTGCCAGATTTCCCTGACCTCAGCTTCATCTCATTCATCTCTGTGCACAACAGCCCCATTCCCTGCTCGAACCTCATTCAGGAAACCTCTTGGGGCTGTGCTCCAGCATTCAAAACTTTCCATCATAAAAGTCTCCTGCTTCTGTTGGAAAGCTCTTGCATACCCAAAAGGCAGGAAGAAAGCACAGAGAGCCTCCAGATGTACTCTGTCTGGTCAAGATCCAACCTTAACCTTCTCTTTCCTAGACGGTTGCCGTCAGCCCTCAACTTACTTTTCAGACACCATTTATTATTCTCCTTGAGCACTCCACTGCAGCCAAGATATGCCGCCTTAAAACACCTTTTATTTTCCCACCTCCAGTCACTTGCTGTCTTTCTGCTTTGGGATTAGTTCCCCCTCCTTACCTTGTTGGATGGGTGTTCTCCATCCCTCAGAGTCTAACTTGAGTCTTTATACCTTGAGAAAAGTCTGTCTGGGGCCCTCCTCTCTCAGGCATTTCCCATAAACTGCCAGGGACCACTGGTTTTTCCTGCATGTGAGGGAACAGTGAGGCTCTGTACACGTTCCATTGCTTTCTCTGTGGCCTATACGTCAGAGGCACTTGGTAAATATTTGTTGGTGAGATGACTGAGAAAAAGCCATCGGCCTTTTCTCCCCATAGGGTGAAGACTTTTAATAGTTGGTTCAAGCCTGCATTAGAAGGATTCCCCAGGCCCCAAAGAGACATAAATAGGTGCTGCAAGTGTTTACCAGACTGGCTTCTATAAAGTCATCTGAGGAAGTGTCACGTCACTTGAGTTCAATCTCAAATTGAGCTGTGAGAGCCATCAACTATTTAAAATGCTCAAAAGAGAAGCCTAACCCTTCTTGGAAATGTTTAACACTTACAGAACAAAGCGTATGTTTTCTTTTAACCCTGTAAACAGAAGATTATTTATTGTCATTTTAAACTGTGGATTTTCTGTGGCACAGTACTTTTGAAAATACTAGAAAAGCGTTTTTCTGACCCAAACTTCTTTACCACCTCATGCTTCATGTGACAGCAAAGGGGATATTCAGCCTACAGTGTTTTCTGCACTCAAGGTAAAGTAGACATAATAAGCAATGGACCGCAGCAACTTTCATGCAATATGAGTTCACATTAAAAAGTAGACATTGGCAAAGTTTTCAGGGCATAAACATTTTGTGGAAATTGGTTCAATAAAATCTGGCATGCAAAGTGGGCTTAAACACACAGCAATTATTGCAACCACGAAGTGATAGGTAGATTCTGGACACACATCTATAACAATGCATTTTATGATTTCTTGGAGACTTTTTGTTCCCCTTGCACCAACCACACGAAAACCTGGAATCTTAAAATATCAAAAGTAGTAGTTAAAAAACAAAAACAACAAAGTGAACAATAAAGAAGAACCTCTTTCCAAATCCCAAATACAAGAACTCAGTGGGGCAGGGGCAGGGAATAAGCTGTTACTGATTCATGCCCACAAAAATTGATTCCACCGTGGACACAACTTCCTCTAGACTCCAGAAAGTTCCACCACCACTGGCGTTTATATAGACAGAACAGACATGCCATGTCTTATGGAAAGAATTACTTTTCTATATATTTGTTTTTGATTTACTGACTTACAAGAGACTTGAAACCACAGAGAGCCCCTGTGCATTCTTGAGAAAAGTGAGGCTGTTTCTCTTCAGTCCCACTTGGCTTCCTCTCCCAGGGGCTTCAGGCTATCACAGAAAGAAGTTACTGTCCCCCAGTTTAGTTACCCACTGCCACCTGGGAGGGCGTCCCTTGGTCTGTCGCTTTCCCTGACTTGGCTGGAAAAAGCAGGTTTTGAAAAATAAAAACAAAACCAGGTTTAAGACACATGTGTTGAGCTATAATCATCCTTTTGAGGGTATATCTTTTAAAATGGCATGATTTACTCAAAATAATATCCTCCCCGCCCCATTTCTCACATCTAACTGTCTTCCAAAAAGACAAGCACACAGAGTGCAGAGATTGTGTGAACAGGGAGCTCATGTTTTTTCACTAGCAATGGGCTTTCTCCAGCACTGTTTTTATGCTAAAAGAGAAAAGTGCAGATTCTAGGAGGGAAAAAGAAACAAAACGAGCTGTCAAAATTCCTTTTAGCGCCTATGACTAGTGTTAACTTACATGCTCCCAGAGTGCAATAAAAAGCCTGCAAATTGCTGCTGAAAAGATGGTTTGACCTTTTAAAATGAGAACTCCTCCACCCCATATCTGTATTAAACAGGTAAACCCTGGACGCTCTAGAGTTTTAGATTAAGAGATGAAATGAGGTTGTCTCTCCAGAAAAGGGTTTCCCTACAGACCGCAGGCTAATTAGCGTGTTCTAGACCTACATTGTAACAGCAGGTAGAATGCAGGCCCCAAACCTTTTAAGCGTTGTAGTTACTAACTACTCAGTCTAGTTCTGAAAGGTGGCGGCAGGGGAGTTACGAAAATTTAGTTTTAAAATAAAAGTCTTAGGCACGACCGCCCATACCCTGCGCTTCCAGGGCAGGCTGTCGGCCCCTGGCGGCCGGAGAGCCACGGCCAAGCTGGGTCTCCACCGCAGCAGCCAAAACCCGAGCGCACCGAGCGGCGCTGCTGAAAGAAGTTGGAGAGCTCCCAGCTTGACAAGAATTTGCGGTGGGCGCCAGGGAATTCCTTCCCGCGCAGCAATTAGGAAAAGTTTTGAAAAGTAAAGACCCTGGACAGGTAACAGGGACTCATTCTTTTCCGGAGCAAGAACCACCGCGCGCTGCGCTGGACGGCTGCGCACACAAGGCCATCCGCCCTGCTTGGCCGGGACGCGCCTGGTGGCTTCCAGCTTCCCACCACCCCAGTGCGCGTCTTCAGGGCATGGAGCCAGACAGACGGCTCCGTTGGGCTACCACGTCCAGACGGAGATGCCTCCGGGTTCCCCGGCTTGGAGGACAAGGTCGAAATCATCAACTCTTCCGAAGCCTCGGACCTTCTCTTCCAAGCTGGCCCGGGCTTCTCCAAAGGGCGCGCGGCACGGCCCATGCGCCCCCGGCGCTCCACGACACTCCTCTCTCTACGCTTTACCCCAAACTCTTCTCCGGGAGCCCCGCAAACACACGGAGCCCCGAAAACTCCCAGGGCACTCGCCAGTCACCCCCACCCTTGCCTCTCCAACCCTTCTTGTCGCGTTCTTCCCACCCCGCAAGGCTCTCCTCACGTTTCTGGGGAGTAAGAAGCAAACCACGAGAAAAATGTCTTTGCGAGGAGCCTCCCTACACCCGCCCGGTCCCTGAAACAAAAGCGCAGGGAGGAGGGAGGTGGGTGGGGAGGCGGAAGGAAGGTTTAGTAAGAGGAGAGGATGGGGACCGCGGCGAGGAGGAGCTGGGGAGGGGTCGAGGGGAGAGCGGAGACGGGGCCAGGACCCCGCTCCTGTCGCTTACATGCCCAGGTCGCTGTAGGTGTTGAAGAACTCCATCTGGTTGCACGCCTGGATCCAGCCCACGACCCAGGTCTCGTGGCGGGGGATGGGGGGCATGACCACGCGGGCCGAGGCTTTGAAGTAGGGGGTCTTGTAGCGCAGGACGATGGGCGAGGTCTCCTCGATGCGCGTGGGGCACTGGTCGATGGTGGCGCACACATCGTACACCACGATGTTCTCGCGCCGGATCCGCGCCTTGCAGGTGATGCTTTGGATACAGCCCATCCTGCCGCCCGGCGCCGGCGCGGCGCGGCGTGGGGC